CATCTTTTCGTCTGTTTGAATTTATGCTTCCTTTTATGTACTTCTTTTTATGCGAACCGCTAAATCATATCCTTTACTCTTTTCTTTTTTCCTTTTTTGGAGGGGGTACTTGGTCTTTGATTTGCAAGAGCTCTTTGCCCATGAAATTAACTCTTTGTCACAGAAGTGACAAATATTTTTATGAGTTTGATATGCAGGTTCATGGGTGCTTTGGTTTTGGCCATACAGGAAATATTAATTTTTATGTAGGCAGACCTAGCAACTTCAATATTTAAAGCAAGGCCATGCTTCCACCCATTAGGCTGTACTGCCTCCCACTCTTTCCCCTTTTTTAAAAAAGATTTTGTTTACTTGAGAGAGAAAGAGTATGCATGAGTGAGGGGAGAGGCAGAGGGAGAGGGAGAAGCAGACTTCCCCGCTGAGCAGAGAGCCTGCCATGGGGCTCTTTCACAGGACCCCGGGATCATGACCTGAGCCGAAAGCAGATACTTAACCAACTGTGCCACCCAGGCGCCCCTGTACTGCCTCCCACTCTTGATCAGTGCTTCAAAGAGGACACATGGAGGGGACCTACGTCTCCACTTGGAGGTCCTCTGCAGTTAGGTTATTATCTCCAGCCTGTACTTACCTCCTTGTCACTTGACCTGAGACCTCCTTAATGGTTTTTCCTGCAGAGTCTTGAGATCATTCCCCACTGCTCAGGACTCATGGCTGGACATATGTTCTCATGGGGGTCCAGGGGGGAAAGCACAACCCACTAAGGCCCCTAGGCACAGAAGGGTCTCTAATAACAGGCTTCTTATGGGGAGGAGGTGGGTCCTCAGCTGCCTGGGGCATCCCTCGCTTTCAGCATCTCTGAAAGTCAAATCTTGCCCCAGACCTTTCAGGTGGGCAGACTAGAGGCTGCAAGTTCTCTAGGCCAGTGATCCTGAAATTTTTCAGCACACTTAGAACCACCTGCAGGGCTTGTTAAAACAAAGGTTGCTGGGCCCCATCCCCAGTCTCTGACTCAGTAGGTCTAAGGTGGGTGTGAGAATCTGCACTTCTAACCAGCTCCAGGTGAGGCTGCTTCCGTGCTGCTGGCCCACAGACCACACTTTGAGATCCGCTGGCCCAGCTCATTCATTCACTCCCTGGGCTCCCCCATCTGGTATGAGTGAGGCTGAGAGGTCTGGAGAAATACGGGCTTTGTTCCAATGAAAATAACAGAGCAACTGCTCTGTGCCAGGTCCCGTGCTGTGAGATCTGTGCAAGAATTTTCTCATCTAATCTTGCCACAAACCTGTGCAGTAGGTTTTGGAAGTACTATCTCCACTTTACGAGGAGAAACCAGGCTCAGAGAGGGTGCACGGGCTTTAGAATCTGGGGCCTGACCCCAGCTCTGCCACTGACCCACTGTGCAAGCTCTTGGGCAAGTGCTCATCCGCCCTGAGCCTCTGACTCATCAGTAAATGGGGATCACAGACCTGGTTTTCAGGGGGTATGAAGCCCACAGCGGAGGCGATTATAAGGGCACCTGCACCTAGTAGGTATGCAAAAAATGTTCATCCCCTTTCCTGCCATAAGCCCCATCATGATCTCAGGGTCCCTTTCTGTCTCCTCTCTGTAGGGCAATGCCCTTTTCACTTTAGTGATCCAGAGAAACTCCTATCTATCCTTCAAAACCCAGCTTAGAATCCCCTCCTCTTTGTATCTTTCCCTGAAAAGTGGTCCTCTTCGTCTTTGGGAAATAAAAATACCTCGGATGGCAGCATCTTATCTGAAAAACATGGCTCAAAGCATTCCTTTTCGTTCTTTCTTCCTCTCTCACTTGTGTTTCCACAGCTTTTATATCAAGTACAATTTGCACACTGCGCTACCACGGGGACCAAGCGGCTAACATCAGCATTGTCAGCATCAGCACCAGCATCATCAACACTGAGTGTGTATCACACACCAGACGCTGTTTTAAGAGGCTTAAGTTGCTGACTCCTTTAATGCCTAAAATAACCTTTTGAGGCAAGTGCTGCTTATTATCCCCATTTTCCTTCTGAGGAAATTGAGTCACAAAAATGCTAAATACTTTGCCTGAGATCACATAACTCATCTGTGGCCAGAGATATAGAAGTTGCTGGTGAGTCTAGGTTATTAAGTTTTGGGTTCTGCTGTTCTTTATGAATGAGGGGTGGCCCAGGTGGGGGCTGTGGCACCCCAGAGGGTGCCCGTCCCATCTAAGGGGACAGCCAAATGTTAGGGCCAAAGGTGTCTGATTTTCTGATTTCTCAAGAGGATCCAGAGATACAGAGTTTAATGTGATATCTCCCACTTTTTAAAATTAGAGGGTAATCTAGGGCGTCTGAGTGGCTCCTTTGGTTAAGCATCTGCCTTTGGCTCAGGTCCTGATTTCAGGGCCCTGGGATGGAACCCCCCCTCCTCATCCTGGGAGTCTGCCTCTCCCTCTCCTCTGCTTTGCAACCCCCTCTGTCCCCCACGTGTGTTCATTCTCTTTCTGAAATAAATACATAAAATCTTTTTAAAAAATTTTTGAGAGTAATCTGAAATGTAAAAAAAGCTCACAAAAGCTGCCCATGGGCCTCCTCAACTTTTGCTGCCTCTCGGATCTCAAAGCTGGGGACCTCAACTCACTTCATGACTGCACCTTCACTTATGGCCAGGAGCACAGGTCACTTATTGCAGATGCTGTGATGCTTCTGAACTCCTCTGAGCTGAGCCTGGCCCTCAACAACCAGGAAACTCATCCTCCAGCCCACTCAGCACGCAGGATTCTCCAGCCTGGATGTAGGGTGTGCACAAGAAATGATGGACCAAGTGGTGACTCTGAGCGTCACCTCCGCCCAGGGGCCACCTCTAGGTCTCCCCAGTTCAGGACAAGACTTCCTGTTCACCAAGGGCTGACAATGCTCTGAGTGAGTGTTTTGTTTCATCACCCCATCGATTCACTCCACAGTTTGGGGAGGCTGCCACTGGCCTCACCCCCGTGGTGCAGATGAGAAAGCTGTGGCCCACACAGGGGAAGGGAACTACCCAGTTAGGAAGTGGAGGACCTGAGACGGTAATGCAAGCGCCACCTGATTCCGGATTCTCCCCACTGGCTGTTTTCAGGCATTCCACCAAAGTCTTGATGGTCTTGGCCCACGTTCCAGCACACACACACACTCTCATCCCCCAGCCTGGACCCGGGGAGTGTGTGGAACACATAGGACCCAGGACACTCCCATCTGCCAGCCATGCTTTCTAATGACCCTGTCTCCTATTAGAAGGTGGGGGCGGCACTAGGGGCATCCAGAGAGGACCCCTGGATGCTGTCCCTTTTGGGAACTCTGCCCAACGGTGCCTGGACAGGCAGAGAGTGTGCTCTGGCTCAGGCCCAAGCCTTTGGGCTCAGTGGAGAGCGAAGCTAGAGGGGGCACCATGTTTGTCCTTGCCCACAGACAGAAGTGTGCATATGCACACTTGTGCATGTGTGTATGTATATGTGTGTGCTTGTGTCTGTAACGCACACATTTGTGCACACGTGCATGCGTATATATGCAGACCTGTACTGAAGCATGTGTACACGCACATGCATGTACATGATGTGTGCACACGTGTGCATACATGCACATATGCAACAGAGAAGAGAGGACACCTTATCCCACAAATTCAGATCCTGTGAAATTAGTTTAGAACAAAGAACAAAATCTTACTTAACCCAAAGATGTCAATTTACAGAAGAAGCTGAAATAAAACACAGCCCCCGGAGGCACCTGCGTGGTGCAGTGATTAAGCATCAGACCCTTGCTTTTGGCTGGGGGTGAGATCAGGCCCCCCGCTTCTGAGCTGTGGCTCAGCGCTGAGTCTGCTACAGTTTCTCCCCTGCCCCTCCCCCTGACACCCCCACCCTTCTCTCAAATAAATAAATCTTAAAAAAGCAGCACCCAAATTCCTATGACTAAGTCAGTTTTATACGCACAACATGGGTAATTCTAAAAGAAATGATGAGAGGGGGCAAGTTGCAGAATAGGATGGATTACACCATTTCTGTTAAAATATCTGTCCACAGCGTCATGATGCACTTTACATGTTCTTTGTGGGTGTACACATATATATGACTGCATAGGTGAAGGAAAAGTCTAGAAGGAATACCCCAAGTTATGAAAGTGGCTACCTTCTGGGAGCAGGGAGGGCAAGGGTTGGAAGGGGGCAGAGAATGGGGAGTGGATGGATCCCTGTGTCCCTCCTGGAATCACACAGTTCAGTGGGCAGGTGGGTGGAGTGAGTCAGCGGTGGAAGCCGGGTGGGGGGCCCAGGGGTGCCTAGGCCTCAGGGGAGCATTTCCAGAAGTCCCCCAGGGACTCTTGGAGGGCTCTGCTGCCAGGAACAAACGCCAGCCTGGGCTGTCCCGACCTGGCTCAGGTGAGGGAGCTGCAGGGGTGGGGAAGCTCTGCTGCTTCCTGCCTAAACTTGTCCATGCCTCAGTTTCTCCTTCCACGCTGCGGCGGGAAGGGCTTGCTCCGAGCCGCCGGACACACCCACTGTTCCCCACCGTCCCCGCCCCGGGGCCCAGCGAAAAGTTAGGGCTCCGCGAGCTCGGGCCAGCCCCCTCTGTGGAGCAGGGCGCCGGGACCGGCCTCCCCAGCAGGGGGCCACCCGAGCCGCGGGTTCCCGGTCCCCGGGAGCGCCTGGCAGGAGAGGCCAGGAGACGGGCTCTGGGCTCGGTCACCGTCACCGCGACGCAGGACGCTCCGCCACCCTCTGCCTCTCAGTGTCCCCGTCTGTGAAATGGGAACAGCGCGGAGGCGCCCCGGCGCGGGGGGCGGCGTCGCCCAAGGGGGGCCGTTCTGCTCCACGACACCCGCGCGGAGCGGGCGCTCAGGGCTCTCGCCGGGGTCACCCCCCGCCCCCCGCGCCCCGGACTCGCCGGGGGCCCCCCGCCGCGCTCCCCCTGCGCCCCGAGGCCCGGCCCCGCGGGGAAACTGAGGCAGGGCTGCCCCTGCGCTCGCCCGGGGTCGCTGTCCTACCTGTTTCCGCGGCGGCGAGGGCGGCGGCGGCGGCGGCGGGGAGGCTGCGGCGCGGGGCCCGGGAGCGCGCGGCCGCGGGGACGGGGAGGGAGCTCCGACGGGGCGGGAGGCCCGGGAGGCCCGGGAGCGCCCGCGGGCGGAGCTGGGCGGCGCCGGGACCGCGGGCCGCCGCACCTCCCCGGCCCCGGCCGCCCGGCCCCCGCCCCGCCCCGCCCCGCACCCCCGCCGAGGCGCGCCCGGACCCCCACGGCCCCCCGCGTGCCCCCAGGCAGACCACTGTGGCACCCCCCAGCACCCCCTGCCCGTCTTCCCCCCCCACGTGCCCCCCCGCGTGCCCCCAGGCAGACCACTGTGTCACCCTCCCCCCCCCCCCCCCCGCACTCCCTGCCCGCCAGACACCCATGGCCCCCCCATGTGCTCCCAGGTAGATCACTGTGTCACCACCTCCGCCGCCCCCCCCCGCACCCCCTGCCGGTCACAGGCCACACACACGCTAACCACGCCATCCTACCCCGCGGTGTGCAAAGCAACACACGCGTGCAACACACATGTGACTGCACCCCTGTCACTTCCACACCCTCTTGGCTGCAGACTGCCGTCTGGGCAAGGTGGGGATTTCAAGCAGTTTGCAGGACAGGCTCCTACAGTAGATTTCCCCCCAAATGTCTGTGAACCTCAGCTGACCTATGAGATGGAATTAGCTCACCTCTTCTTTAAATTTTTTTTATGCGTGAGAGACACGCAGAGAGAGGCAGAGACACAGGCAGAGGGAGAAGCAGCCTCCCTGTGGGGAGCCTAATGGGGGACTCGATCCCAGGACCCCGGATCACGGCCTGAGCCAAAGGCAGATGCTCAACCCCTGAGCGACCCAGGGGCCCCTAGCTCACCTCCGCTTTCCCAGTGACCTTCTCCCTCTCTGACTCAGCCCCCTCCAAGGTCACTCCTAGGTCCCTGATGGCCCTGCCTCTGCATTAGAAATTCAAAGAGCCTACAGAGCAGGTGGGGCCTGGGGGCTTCCTCAGTGACTCCCACTGCACTCCGGCTTTGCTCACTGCCAGGCCCTTACCCTGACTCCAGTCCTCACTTCTTTTCCTCTTCTCTTCAGCAGATTGAGGTTCCAAGGACATCATTTCAGCCACTTTCTTGCCAATATCTTCAATACATGGCTTTTCATTTCAGGTGCCCCTGGCAAAGCCCCAGAGTCAGCCTCCTCCATCCCACCTTGAGACACTGGATTCCTTTGCTCTCATTGCTGTAACAAATGACTACAAATGTATTATCTTAATAAACACAAATTTATTAACTTACAGTTCTGGAGGTCAGAGATCCAACACCCCTAAAATCAAGAGGTGAGAGGACTGCGTTCCTTCTAGAGGCTCTAGGGGAGAATCTATTTCTTTGCCTTTTCTAGCTTGTAAATACTGCCTGCATTCCTTGGCTTGTGGCCCCTTCCTCTATCTTAAGAATTAGCAATATGGGGCCGAGTCTTTCTCCTGTACCATCTATCTAGTTCTCTCTTCTCTTTTTTTTTTTTTAATTTTTATTTATTTATGATAGTCACAGAGAGAGAAAGAGAGAGAGGCAGAGACAAAGGCAGAGGGAGAAGCAGGCTCCATGCACCGGGAGCCGGATGTGGGATTTGATCCCGGGTCTCCAGGATCGCGCCCTGGGCCAAAGGCAGGCGCCAAACCGCTGCGCCACCCAGGGATCCCTCTCTTCTCTTTTTTAAAAATTTTATTTATTTATTTGAGAGAGAGAGAGTACAGAGGGAGAGGGAGAAGCAGACTCCCCATTGAGCAGAGAGCTTGCCACAGGGCTCGGTCCCAAGATCCTGAGATCATGACATGAGCCAAAGGCAGATTCTTAGCCAACTGAACCACCCAGGGGCTCCCAGTTCTCTTCTTTCTGTATCCCTTTGCTACTTCTAGAGACCCTTGTGATTGCATTTGGCTTTCCCCCATAACCCAGGATAATCTCTCCATTTCTACACCAGCTGATTGCCAAACCTAATTCTATCTGCTATCTTAATTCCTCTTTGCTCTGTAACTTAACAGATATATAGTTTCTGGAAATGAGGACACAGGCATCTTTGGGAGGGCTTTGTTCTGTCTACCAGAGAGGCTGAGCTTTCTATAGGCTCCGGCCTCTGCTGGAGAAAATTAGTCAGCCAAGAAGATTTTTGGCACTATAAATCTATGAACCTCTACAAGCAAAAAGAAGTTTTATTATTGTCATTATTTGTGGTAGAAAAATAATAAAATGTGACATGTTTAGTTGATAGAATATTATACAGCACTTAACAAGAACATAGTCTATGTATATGGATGTCCATAGACTTCAAAATCATGAGTGAAAAATAGCAATAAAATTGGAATAACAGGGGATCCTGGGGTGGCTCAGCGGTTTAGCACCTACCTTCGGCCCAGGGCATGATCCTGGAGTTCCAGGATCGAGTCCCACATTAGGCTCCCTGCATGGAGCCTGCTTCTCCCTCTGCCTGGGTCTCTGTCTCTGTCTCTCTCTCTCTCATGAATAAATAAATAAAATCTTTAAAAAATAAATAAATAAAATTGGAATAACAGAGAGCAAACACTTTTATAGTGTTAATTCTGTACCAGATACTGTTCCAAGCACTTACATTAAAACTCACAGCAACCTCATGGGGTACATACGAGTATTATCTCTATTTTTACAGATGAGGAAACTGGCACAGACAGGTAGAAAAATTGCTCCAGGTCACACAACCAGGAAATGTCAGAGTTGGGCTTTGAACCCCGGTAGTCCTAATCCAGAGCCTGCCTGTGGACTTAACTGCTGCAGATTAATTTGTACAGTATGAGTTACTTTGAGTAAAATTTTTAAACTGCTATAAGGAATTTACAACTGTATACACTGGAAGGAGATCAAAGTGGTTTCTGCAGAGTTCAGAAATGGGATGGGGACCAAAGGAATTCTAACCTTAGCTGGGAAGTTAAATTAATTAATTAGTAGATTAATTAATTATTATTTTTATATTTTTTATTATTTTTTAATTAATTATTTTTAAAAGGCCCAGAGCAAGTAGTACAAAATGTTAACTTTTAGTTATAGGTGGTGAGACCCTGGGATAACTGTTTCATTATTCTTTGTAATTTTCTGTATGAAAAAAAAACAAACAAAAAACTGAGCTCTCTAACAAATACTGTGTGTCTGTGAACCCAGTGTTCTCTCCATGTTTTTATTTTTTATTTTTAATTTTTTATTTATTTATGATAGTCACACATAGAGAGAGAGAGAGAGAGAGAGAGAGAGAGAGAGGCAGAGACAGGGAGAGACACAGGCAGAGGGAGAAGCAGGCTCCATGCACCGGGAGCCCGACGTGGGATTCGATCCCGGGTCTCCAGGATCGCGCCCTGGGCCAAAGGCAGGCGCCAAACCGCTGCGCCACCCAGGGATCCCCTCTCCGTGTTTTTATATAATTTTTTTATCATGATGATTATTTCCACTTCATATCTGGCATGTTTTTCTGTAAATTATCCTAATACAGGAATTCTCAAAATTTACAGTCTCAAGAATCCTTTGCACTTTTAAAAATTATTTAGACCCCATAGAGTTTTTGATCACAAGGTTTATATCTATTGGTACTTACCACATTAGAAATTAAAACAGATACTTAAAAAATATTTTTAATCAGGGGTGTCTGGGTGACACAGTCGGTTGAGCCACTGACTCTTGGTTTCTGCTCAGATCGCGGTCTCACGGGTCATGGGATTAAGGCCCTCATAGGGCTCTGCACTCAGCAGTCTGATTGAGAGTCTCTCCCTGTCCTTTTCCCTCTTCTCCTCCCCCGGCTCTTTCCCTCAGATAAATAAATGAATCTTAAATAAATATTTTAATCATTAAAATATAAAAATAATAAACCTGCTACATGTTAACATGATTAAAATGCCTTTATGAAAAATAATTTCCATAACAAAAGAAAATATTAATGGGAGGAATGGCATTGGTTAGCAATTCTTTTTTTTTTTAAGATTTTATTTATTTATTCATGAGAGGCACAGAGAGAGGCAGAGACACAGGCAGAGGGCGAAGCAGGCTCCACCCAGGGAGCCCGATGTGGGACTCGATCCCGGGACTCCAGGATCAGGCCCTGGGCCGAAGGTGGCGCTAAACCGCTGGGCCACCTGGGCTGCCCTGGTTAGCAATTCTTAAGATCTCTTAATATCTAGCTGGATTCTGGCATCTGCTTTTGCATTTGGTCTGTTGCATTATGTTCTCTAGTTGAAATAAATGAAGGAAATATAGTTTCATATCATTTTACTCACTGCTGCTTTTGTCAACCACTGCTTTTGTCAGTGCAAATATCAACCTGGGGAAAAAGGCAAACAACACCTTAGTATTATTATGAAAATAGTTGTGACCTTTTGACAGGTCTTTGCCCCAACCTCATAAGCCTGTGGACCACACTTTGACAACCATTACCATAATATAGTCAGTTGTGACAATCTGAAATTGTTAGCCTTTCACTATCATTGGCCTATAAAATGCAATTTCCTATGGTTCAACCCAATCCATGTTATCTGGGAGGGTTTCCCTTTTGGCGCACACACTGTGTTTTCCTGGCCAGTCTCTAGTGTTGGACATTTTTGGGGTGTCTCTTCTCCAGGACTGTATTGCTCTGAGCAGCTTTGTACAGATGACATGTCTTTCTTTGAGTCATGATGTCCAGTATGGGGGTAGCTAGCATTGGGGGTGTCTAGGAACTATGGACCGGTTGATGTTAGGCTAACACATTTTAAGATATATATGTTAAGCAGTTGGGAACAAAGAGAGTCATGTTCCCTCAGAGTTGGCTTGAGCTCATGAAGACTGAACTTGCTTTGTTTCCCTTTTTTGATTGGGGCTCTGGTCTCAAGGGTGCCAGAGAACATCCATGTGGACTTTCATCAGGTGTTTAGAACTATGGATCATTTGGCCAAATTAAAAACAACAACAATAACTTTTACTAAACACCTGTGGGCACAGTTAGATGAATTCATGTCTGGATGGATTCATGACTGGTTTGGGACATCTCTAAGTATCAACCCCATTCCCCCCCCCCAATTATATCAAGTATTTATATACTATTA